GGGAGAATTTGGCTTTGTGCATGCTAGCATGGGTGTAAATTCTGCCTTGTGAATTTGGAAAACATGCAGAAAAGAGGCTTATATGGCCAAATGAAAGATGTATACCAATCTTGCACAAAGAGACTAAAATGTTCCAACGAAGCTGGAATCGAACTTGTCCAAAAGATGTCTAGTGCCCACACGAAGCAGGAGATGAACTTGCCCAAAATAAGTCCAATGCTCAAACGAAGGGTGTAACCAAAGTTTACATCAAAGGAGCCAAAGTGCCCAATCGAAAGATGTAAAATCGAAGGGAACTTGTTTTTCCTTCAATTTTGTCAAAAAGAATATTTTCATCTACTTTGCCCTTTTTAACAGTTTCCTCTTTAACTTGATGCTAAAAAATCAATTGTACTTGTGTAAGCTTGAATTTTTTAGAATCCTTTGTGAGAAATGCCTTGAGAAATGAGAGGGCAAATTTTAGGATACAACAACCAGTAAACTTGGTAAATTTAGGTACCTTACATACCCTAGGTAATTCTGCTTGTAGAATATAATCAGGCAAGAGAGACGAATAATTAGGCCTCTGAAGGCCAACATTTACCCCTAATCATGTTAACATTTCTTCTACTACATTCATTGTGTTATTACCCCCAACAGTGGCATTTTTTAACATTCGATCAGTATCTTGGTTCCTCCTAACCACGACTGGACTAGGTTGTATTTTTCAACTAATTCTTCCTATTCATAAGTGGGTACTTCCAACCTTCAAGGTCTAAAAGGATGCTCATTGTTACCTCCCTCTAGTTCTTCAAAAACTCTTAATGACCTTTGGCGCGTCTGAGTTGGTTGGACCCCTAATGACTCGATCAATCTGCCTATTTGGTCAACTACATGATTAAAGCCAACTCCCATTTGCTGAGTTAAAACATTTATTAACTCTAAATTACTCTAATTCATCTGTTGCCTTAAAGCCATGACGGAAGTAGTATTTAAAGATGGTGTCGACTGAGGGATATAACCAACACCACTTGGTCGACCACCTAGGACATAACTGCCTTGGTTTTCAGTGGCCACTGTGTTTTCTGTATATGTGGACTGGTTCGACTGCAACCCAACCATCGTGGAATAAGGCATATCATATTGATAATTGACAAATAATGACCCTAGACCCCCTAGAAAGAGTGATCGATTTGGGTCTAATGGTGATACCCCGTGCCTATGTTATGTTGTTGTGACGCTTGTCACTGAACCATGCAATGCGGTTAATCTCACAGGAGATAAAATTGTCGTGTTTTGAGTTGTGGCACTCACTGGTATGACATCCATATTTTGCATAGAAATTTGTGTTTGTGCAGTGTTTATGTCAGAGCATGGAATTTTAGACTTCGAAAAATGTTTACCACTACTTAAATTCATAAACACACAAACTAAACTACAAGAAATTTTGTAAAACCAAACATAAATACGAAATTATTAGAACTGTCCCACCAAGTGTGCCAATTTGTTTACCTCTGGTTTGGTAAACAATGTTGGTCTCTTAACAAAATTATACTTGCGAGATCGACCAGGGAATCTCAATACAGTGCTTCAGTTTTTAAGTGTTTTCAAAAAGTGTTTTCAAAAAGGATTTGTTCACTGGTGCCAAACAAGTTTATAAGAAATAAAGCAAGACTTGTAAAATAAAATGAAAAGCGTTTTAAACTGTAAACATAAATGACATAACATCAAAATAGTTGAAAATAAGTTGATTCAAACATACATTTCCCTAGCTTGACTCATTTCGCTCGTTCGTTTGGGTATTCTGGGTGACTAGCGTTTAGGAATGTAAAAGTTTGATTCTCTAACACTATGTACTAAGTGCTTTATTTATAATACACATAATAACTACTTTTTAGCGAGCTTAGTTTCTTTGTACGCAACGTGTATTTTGCAACTTCTCTCCATGAATCTATGTTCTCCACTCAAACTTATTTTCCCCTCCAAAGCGCTTCGCTCGCTTGGTCAGGACTCTTTTGGTTTTTTGACATTTCCAGGCCCAATTAACTACTTAAGGGGTCTCTTCAGGTCGACTGCAGTTGTAGTCGACTTAGATAATCTCGACGGTCCTCACATTCCAACAATTAAAATTTAGCTAGACATGATTGTAACGTGCAATAAAACAACTAATTCGTTTTTCAAAGAAAGCATGGTAGATATAATGATTAAAACTTTAAACATGCAATTGGAATAAAAGTAGAAGAAGAACATGTGATTAAATAAAGATACGATAAAAAATATTATGTGATAAATAAAAACCTGCTCCGAAGAGACTTTAATCTGGTACAAGAGTAAATTGCTGGAAACTTGAATACGGGAAATAAAATGGCGGCACGATTAAACTTCACAAAGGTTGCTCCAAACTCAATGCAAACTCGGCCATCAACAAGGCTATAACCCATCGATGTGACGAGTTATATATTTAATCGGTAAATATATGCCTAAGAGTGTGCTTATCTTGGATGCCTTGAAATTGAATGTTAATGGTGAAGATGTGAAAAACACAAGAAGGGGGGGTTGAATTGAAAAACTTAAATCAAAAACAGCTTAAAGACACAATATTTTTATCCTGGTTCGTTTGATCTCAAACTACTCCAGTCCACCCGTCAAGGTGATTTCGCCTCTCTCCAACGAGGTCTTAATCCACTATTCTCAAAGGATTACAACTGCTACTTTAACAACTGTTAAAGTCTTCTTGAGTACAACCACAATCTGGTTAATCTCAAGGAACTTCTTTTACAAATAATTAAACAAGAGTGTGTTGTTGTTTTCTTACAAAACTGTATATCACAACTGTGATAATTACACAAAATAAGCTTGAAATAAAATGAATTTTCTAAAGCTTTGAATATGCGTGATTGGGAAGGCTTGGCAAATTTGTTGTATGCGTACGTACATGCTCTTTTCACAAGCAGACTTGTTTATATAGGCAAGGCAAAGATACTTTGTCCATAAAGCAAGTTTAATGATAATAACACACTTTCCTTTTGAAGAAGATCTTGTCTAAAGAAAGTCGTTAGCATTTAATTATGTCTTGAATAATTAAAAACGCTTCAGAATCTTCTTTGCTTTAACTGCTGATAACGCTTCAGAGTATTGATGACTTAGTAAAGATGTCTTTGATCAGAGTCAGAGTGTACTTGTTTAGGCGCAGATTATGGTCATCAAGCTTCAGCGTATAATCTGGTAGCTTCAGCTCAAGCTTCAGCGTATAATCTGGTAGCTTCAGCGTGTAGCACATATTGCTGATCTTCTGATGCTGATTCCATTTTGATGTTGATTCCATCAGAACTTCTGCATATACAAAACATAATTTTAAGGAGCATAATTGTTCTTTGTATATATCTTTGAATTTAATTATTCTTTGTATTTTGTTATCATCAAAACTCTAATCAAGGGTTGTAGAATCAAACTATGTTCTAACAAATGGCATATTTATAATGGAAATAAAACCCTAAAATGCTGGTGGAAGTTGTTGAATTCGTGTGAGGGGAAATATGAGAGAATGGAGAGAATGGGAAGACCTAGCGAAGCCCAATTCAACTGCAATGAAATTTAAAGGGTGGTGAATACCACCTTATCAAAGTGGGCATGACCAGGTCTTTTGACCGTTGAGACGTGGGACTCGTCATCCTCCTGGTGGCTACCTCCCTGGTGAATGCCAAATTGGTTGCTTTTAGTGAAAACTGCTCCATTTCTTCTGTTTTTCGTTCATTTTTCGTTGTTTCTTCGCATATGACTCTTAAATTGAAAAATACCTAAAAGACACACAAATACTAGCATAAAAGTGGAAATGTAAAACAAAACGACAATAAAACATGCACAAATTGAGTCAAATAAACAGTGTAATTTTGTGTCATCGTTGCACTCTCGTCTTGTGAGGCCGAGTATGTTGTTGCTTTGTTATGTGTGTGCCAAGCTTGTGGCTAATGAATCTATTGAATAAGTTGGGTAACAGTGAGGGTGAGGCTATTACACTCTTGGTTGATAATGTTTCCATTATTAATCTTGTTAAGAACTCAATTGCATATGGGAGGCACAAGCACATTGAGATGAGGTTTTACTAGTTTAGAGGGGGCTTGTTAGTGAAGGAAAATTAAGGTTATAGAAGTGAAGATCAAGTTGTTAATTTTTTGACTAAAGGAGTCACAAATGATGTGTATAAAATTTGAAGATGAGCATGGGAATGGAAGACTTGTAGCACCTAAAATGAGGTGGTGTGTTAAGAGTTTTGAAGTATTTCAAGTGTTGTAACCGGTTAACACGAGGGTGTAACTGGCTACAAGCATCAAGTAAGTAAAATAAGTTGCAAAAAGGTGCTTTTGGAGTTGTTGTAACCGGTTACACATTTGTAGTAACTGGTTACACCTCATAGTATTTTTCAATTTTGTGTCAGTTATAACCGGTTGCAGGTTTGTGTTAATTGGTTACATCCCCGATTTTTTGACTTTTCTAGCTTTTGACTTGATACTTTTTTATCCCAATTGTTGTATAAATACCATTCTGATATGTTTGTAATAAAAGGATGAATAGAATCATAATTATAACCCTCAGTTATCTCTATCTCTAACTCTCTTCTCTCTCACTGTCTCTTTCTCCACATACTTAAACCATTCATTACTTACCAATTGTGTGATTGTATGTTCCAACAGATTTACCACCTCTTTGATACAAATCACAAATCCAAGGGTTTTATCCATTTGTTTTCATGAGCTCATCGTTGTATAATGTTCACCTATAAATTTCATAATTGTTTCTCATAACTCATAATAAAGAATTTCTACCAGCGCATTATTTTCTCCATTAATCCTTTGTCATACTCAGTTGAGGCCATATAATCTTCATACCAAACAGAATCATTAAGTTGATCAGACTTAATGTTTGATGATTAAATACTTGGAAAACACATAAACAAACAAGTTAAACCATAGAGACTGGTGGACCCCTCCTTCAAAAGAAGATTTTTTTCGTATTTGGCAAATATGTCCAGACATGCCTTGGAGGTAGAACTGACGACTCTGGTTCGGTATACTCTACGCGATTCTACTGCTTTAGCCTTTGGTGGAGCCATTCGTTGGGATGATCTTTGGTATGACCACCACCATATGGAGAGGCATTGGTTGGAAGATAGCGCTTGTAACCTAACGCTTCAAAGGGATATGTATATGCAAGAGATATAGACAACTTTTACCTCTCTTACATGGATAAGGGACGTTTTGCTCCCCCTTAGGAAAATTCTATTGACCGACTTTGATACTCGTTCCGTTCCGAAACTATAATTGTTGGTGCAACTCCATAATGAGGTGTCATGCCTTGCTCTAGTGTGAGGATGTGGGTGGACCTGCAATGTTAGCACTCTAACACTCAAGTCAATTTCGAACAATATAGATGGTGAATTTAATATTAGAAAAGTCGTACTTATTTTAGCGCCAATAGTAGTATTTATGCGTTGTTCCAAATTGGGACTTCTAGACCTTTGAGCCTAGACTAGACTGGGACAGTTGCCCCCAAGCTTGTTATGTCGCGATGCATATGAAGTCTTCTAAAGTCAAATTGGGTGCCAGATTGTCTTCTAACCTAGGAGGTATACCTGTAAATGTAAATGGAGATGATGGAGTGACTCTTCCATATCGATTATTTATGGGAATCATGGAATTCTTGACAATGATCATTTGGAGGCTAATGGTCTTGTTTTGAATTTAGTAATTCTAAGTGATAGTTCTAGAATTGGGGAAGGCTCCGTAGAGTATGGAAATGGCCCTATTAGTCCTTTTAATGGGAATAAGGAGGGAGACTCCCGCACTCCGACTTATATGGAAGCAGGTGCTTGCTTAGCTTCCTCTGGTCAAGATCGTGAAGAAATTAAAGCAACCATTGCTTCCTAAAATGAGTTAAGAACTCTTTATTTCACTGAAACCTTCAAAACGGCATATGGCCAAGACCCCGCCACTGAGGAGATTGGGGATCACCTCGTCTTTAGGAATAGCAATCCAACTTCTAACTAGCATTCTCTTTTAGATGACACTTGGAACAACATGGTGAAACATTCTCTTTTATGTGACAGTTGAAATTAGGGGTGTTCAAAAATATGATTAACTGAATTGTATATTTAAACTGAACTAAATTGCACCCTAAAAAATTGAATCATTTAAATGGTTAATGAACTGAACCATTTAAATTAAACAATTTAAAACTGGTTCAAAATCAATTTTTTTTTATAAACTGATTTGATTATATAAATTAGGTTCTTAAATATATTATTTTTTCATAAATAAAAATTTGAAATTAAAAAATGAAATTAAAAAATACTTTTTTGAAAATAAATTTTATTTTCGGAAAAAAATTTTAAAAATAAAAAATATTTATTTTGTTGAAAATAAAAAAATTAAAATTGGTTGACCATGTAATTAAAAAATATTTATTTTGTTGAAAATTAAAAAAAAAACAGAAAATCAAAGAAAAAAATTGTTACTAAAAAAATATTTTTTTCTAAAATAAAAAATGATTTTTTTTAAAACAAAAAAAAATGAAATTTTTTTTAATATAAACAATTTTACATTTTTTTATGAAATTGAAAAAATTGGTTTTCAAATAGTTTAAAATATTATATTGGTTTAAAATTACAAACCGGTTACAAATTAGTTTTAAATTGAATTGAAACTATTTTATCAATTAATTAAATTTTTATTGAAGTGATTATTGAAAACTGAATCGAACCATAAATGTGGTTTGACTATGAACACCCCTAAATTTGAAACGATGTGGTGAAAAAAGGAAGCACAAGTTCGGTACAACATCCTAACTCTAGACTTTAAACATGGATTGGCCTTTAGCTGGTATGGATCGTTTCTATGTAGAGAAATCCTTATGACATCCTAGATAGGGAAAAAATCTATGAATAACCAAAAATAATCCCGGAAATGCATTTCTGGGACACACCTTTTTTTTGAAAAATCATGTTTGAAACCGGAAATGCAACTACTGTTTGGTACCGGATATGCATATTTAGTTCCTGTACAGACAGTTCATACCATATTATTATGTAGGTTTTTATGCATTTATAAAATACGTAGTAAAATATAATTTCAATAAAATATGAACTAATCACAAAATACGTACAAATGCTCATAAATGTTATGTTCCAAAATACGATACGTAAAATATTCCTCAAAGTGTTATCCAAATGATCCAAAATATGAAAAATATAATAGTACTATAAACAAAATGCATCTAAAATTATCAGACTACTGAGTATGGCAGATAATGAGTTGGCTCGTGATATTAGCGACAATCCTCCGCTACCGTCTGTAATACAGAGTCTCCTCAGCCTCCGCGATGATGGAATCTAGAACACCTCTAACACCAGAGCCATCAGGAAACAGACCTCCATCAATACCCGCTTGCGCAATCTCTGTGATACGACGGCACCTAGGCAACACATCATGAGCATGATCGGCCCGAGCCTGCTCCTCCTCTAGAAGTTATGCATGTGCTGGTCTAGGTGGGTTACCTGGAGCCTCATGTATCAGATATGAATGTGACACCTTGAAAAACCATAAATATACATCCTCATAGCTCCAATCTTTTGGTGATATGGTACTCTGGGCCTCATTCGACACGAGATGGTTAAGATAATCATCAAATATATCATTCATATCTCTCCGTTTCAGCATGGGAGGGGCACACTCAAAGCGTGGTCTGGGAATGTGTTGCATGTATCTAAACTGTCGCATCACGCGCTCGGGCAAATAAGCAGTTGTCTTACGCGACCCGCGTGCCAACCACCAAATGAACAACACAGTGTTATTAAAGGGAACCGTCTCACGGTGAGCCTCGTATGCATGGAAGCATATATCCTCATAGGTCATGCGGTCTATATACACCCTGAATGGCTCTGTCGCCTGATTCCCTCAGAGTAGGTCGAATGAAGCGGCACGTGGCTGAACCTCAGTATATGTAGGATCAAGTGACCATCCAGATATATGAGGGAAGTGATGTAGGATCTAAGCCTGAAATGTTACCGCCATTAGTAAGTAACGACATCAAATTAATTTACATAACAAGACAAAAATAACATAAGAATAAGAAATGTTACCGTCAAAAGTGTGATGTTGCCGGTCATCTGCTTTGTATTCCTCTTAATTCCTTCGGACAACTTCTGGTACAAATACACCAAACAAGTTGCTCCCCAGTTCCACTCAGGGATCCGCTGAAAATCGTTAAAAAATCGCAGGTACATGATATCAGTGTAAATGGCTAGTATCCACAAAAATTTGTGTCAACCAGCTACAAAAGATATGCCCTCATAGCATATGCTCTGTGTTTAGCTACCTGCAGATCGTCACCAGCAGTCTGTCATGCACGCCCTAGCTCAGTTGTGAACACCTTTTGCAAGTAGTTAAATCTGACATGACACCCACGTGTTTTGTCGATCTCAGTCATAGCACCTTCTGGAGTAACTCCTAAGTACTCCACCAATATATTCAGTGCCTCCTCTTTGGTGCACCTCTCGTGATCTAAAAATTGTCCTCTAATTGAAAGGTGCAACAGACACGCGACATTGTCCAGTGTGATTGTCATCTCACCATGTGGAAGGTGGAACGATGATGTCTCGTGATGCCATCTCCCAACAAAAGCGTCAATCATACCATGATTAATGGTAGTATATCCACATAAGACCAAATCATGCAACCCAGTGATGTGCAGCACCTCCTGGAACCATGGCTCGGCGGGTGGTACCAGGCGAATGATCTTCCTAGCATGGTTAATTATCTTGAGTGGACCACGATCCTGCATGCATAGATAAACACCCAAGACTTAAGTGAACACAAACTTAGCAAAAAAAATAAACACAATATGTAACAATTGTTAAATGAAATATTTATCTCTCTCTCTCCCATAAGTATTTGGCAACATGGTCCAGATACAACGGCAGTAATGACAAATCAGAAGGTTCTTCTCCAAAAACATGAGGTGCCTCTGATGCACGTTGTGGATGGACCTCTGATGCAGGTTGTGGATGGGTCGTCCGTGCATACTGGATGGCCTATGGTGTCTGCTAGATGGGAACTGGTGTAGGCTGACTGGGAGCAGGTGTCGGCTGGGAAGAATGAGTTTCTCCTATCTCAAAGACCATAAGGCATCCGTGGAAGGAATAAGGTGGAGAGGTATGGATTGAATGTGGTGTAGTCTATGGGTGAGAATCAGATGTCTCTCCTGGTCCGGATACATGCGGTGAGGACGTACGTCTGCGGGATGACGAAGGCAGAGATGGATGGACAAGAGACTCTTGTTTGTTGGTCGACGGAGTGGAAGTAGAAACGTCATTGGTAATGGACGCATCTGACACAGCCTGTCTGAGAGCCTGAAAAGCCTGAATCTTTTCCCTGCACACGGAAGCATGTTGTGAAAGTCTCTTTGGTCGCAATCTAGATGGTCTAATCTATAATACATGTAGAATAAATGAAACAAATACTAAACAATAACATTGTTGTACATAAAATAGGGGGAAATGTCTGATACATAACCGAAAATATACTTTCAATTTTAGTCAAGAACAAAACCAAAAATATACTTCTAGTACAACCTGGAACTTAACAAGTTCATCAATGGCGAACTTAAGGTTTGGAACCAATGTTGTATATATAATTCGTATCAACGTGATAAGAAGTGGTCTCTCATAGTGTAACTATTTAGTTCATTTAAAGTGTAATCAGAAATACAACATCGATTTGAAAATCGTAAGCATATTTCTGATTTGTATGTTTTTTTCATATAATAGGGTACGTATCAGAAATACATTTCTGATTCCTAAAAACATATTTAGAAATTCATACTGATATTTAAGAAAGACTTAGAATGTATTAAAGAAATTCTCTTCAATCTATAACTCCATTGCAAATGTGGAAAAAGCCCAAATAAAAGTGGGCTCATCTTCTAATTAGACGATTTCCCAATGAGAGCAAACGAATCTAAAGTCGCCTAAGATTTAGGTTACTCTTTAGTGCATTTGAAGAAGAATGATTAAATCATCTAACTACAGTCCCTTGCAAGCTTCATCCGTTTTCCTAGGCTTTAGCCAAGGTGTTAGAATTGAGAAATTGAGCCATCCATCAGACTTTTCTTTAACTTGTTCTATATATACATCCTATACTTCAGAGGACTCCGATTGTAGTTAGGGGATCATTTCTATCCTCCAATAGAGTATTTAAAAGTCAACCTATTTATTAGGTCTAGTTTTAAAAGCGTTACGTAATTGTCATCCTTAGTAGAAGTAACCGTTTTCATACCAAGATGTAACTTGATATATATTGCAAGGAAAACTATTACAAATACTTTAAATTATGATTATAAAATTCTCAAATATAATTTTATACCTAAATGAACAACATTTGCTAACATGCAATACAGTACATAACCAAGCAATGCAAACATAAAATCAACAACGTAAACTCTATACAAAGCACGGAAGACATTTCAGGAATCTTGCGCTATATTCACGCATGAATTGACATTTGAATTTTAGGCAGCTGTTGCCTCCTTCACACGTGGTTCCATTCTGTAGTAAATTGATTTGTTAAAGCCCAAAGGTGCAAATATAAGGAGTAGTTTTAACTTCCACAGGCCAAACACTCATCTCTGTTTGTCAAAGAGCACACCATCTGTGCCATCTTCGCATCTTCATCAAGATCAGCTTCCTCTGTCTTTGCTTGCTCCTGCATTCAAAACAATAATCATTTAATATCAAAATGTACCAACACAAATAACATGAATGGAAAGATTGACCAAAATCAAGGTTAATTACTTTAATGGCAGAGGTATCAACAGTAAACTTGATGGCATCACTTGCAGCTCGGGTTCGGAGGTAGTACATACCAGTCTTCAA